GTAAGGAGCATCTCTATGCAAGCGCCGCACTCCCACAATCCTATGCAGCAACAGTTGCTCGATTGAAGCCTCCGTCGCCACTACATAATCTTCGTTAAAACTTAAATCTAATGTTAATTGAACGGACTAAAACGCATCGATAGTTAATTGCGTACTAACGTCATTATATCGGATTTCATATCACTAGATTGTTTTTTGCTGAAATAGAAGAAGCTCTTCAGAATCAGAGGGGAAGAAGAAGAGAATTAGGGTTTCTTTCTTCTTCTCTTCTGCTCTCATATCTCCTGAATGAAAGAAGGGCAGGAGTAATTCAATAGGAGGCAATCCATTGTTTTGCAATCCGGAATCCAATCTTATCCTCAAATTCTCTGCTTATAATCCGAGAAAAACCAGCGGCCGTCATTTCATCCAGCGTAATGGCGATGGAAACAGAGCAGAGAAGGTACATTTCGTCTGCGGAGCTTGGAAAACACAGCTCCCGTTCGGATCTATGGATCTCGATCCAGGGTAAGGTTTACAACGTCACGGATTGGGTGAACAATCATCCCGGAGGCGAAATCCCTCTTCTCAGCCTCGCCGGACAGGATTCCACAGATGCATTCATCGCCTTCCATCCCGCTTCTGCTTGGAAACACCTCGATCGATTCTTTCTCGGCTATCATCTCGCCGATTACAATGTGTCCGATGCATCTAAAGATTACCGCCGACTGGTTGCAGAGTTCACTAAGCTCGGTCTTTATGAAGACAAGGGCCATGGAGTCCTCTTCTCACTGTTGTTCATGTTTGTTCTCTTCTTCGTTGCAGTTTGCATGATCATCAGAACCGGAAACATTTGGGCTCATCTCGCTTCCGGCGGGATCATGGGGTTTCTCTGGATCCAATCGGGGTGGATCGGCCATGATTCGAGCCACTATAATGTCATGATAAACCCTAGATTCAATCGATTTGCTCAGTTTTTGTCTGGAAATTGCCTCGCTGGATTAAGCATTCAATGGTGGAAGAGAATTCATAATGCTCATCACATAGCCTGCAATTGTCTCAATTTCGATCCCGATTTGCAACACATGCCTCTCTTCGCCGTCTCATCAAAGTTCTTCTACTCCATTACCTCCTCCTTCTACAACAGAACCTTGACCTTCGATTCAATCTCGAGGTTCCTGATCAGTTACCAGCACATAACTTTCTATCCAGTAATGTGCTTTGCTAGACTTAATCTCTTTGCTCAATCTATTATTCTTCTTCTATCGATGAAGACAAAGGTGCCGTCCCGCTTCCAGGAGATTGTTGGAGTAATGGTGTTCTGGACATGGTATCCTTATCTGGTTTCCTTTCTCCCAAATTGGGGAGA